AACTAGAAACAATTATTTTTAAAAATTGTAACCATTTAAATTGGTAAGCCTACAGTACTTGTGATTTTTTTTCTCCAACCCTAATAAAACATCTCTTAATTTGAGCCATTTGTAGGAATGCTTATTTGGACCCACCAGGTGCTAGAACATATGGAGGCCTAGCAACTGATGTGCCTTTAATTCTTCCCTCCAAGTACTGCAGAAAAAAAGGGCTGATATACCATGGCGAGGGCCTTACCAAATTTATGGCCATGAAAAATGTGTCATGGACCGTGAAATCTGGTCTTCCCCATGAAGTCGTGTCTTTTGGATGCTTTTACCCGACACTATACAGATTTCATGGGGGAGACCAGCATTTCTCAAATTGGGGGTCCTGACCCAAAAGGGGTTTCAAATCTATTGTAGGGGGGTCACAATATTGCTACCCTTAGTTCTGCGCTACCTTCAGAGCTGGGCGGTGGGAGAGCAGTGGCAGCTAGCCAGGTGCCCAGCTCTGAAGTAAGGGTCGTATGGTATGGTATTGCCACCGTCACCTTTACTTCTGCACTGCTGGTGGCAGTGATGCTGCCTTCAGAGTTGGGTTCCTGGCCAGCAGCCGCCACTCTCCAACCACCTAGCTCTGAAGGCAGCACAGAAGTAAGGATGGCAATATCGTGACCCCCCTACAATTGCCTTGTGGCACACACACCCTGCAGCCCCCTTTTGGGTCAGGACCCCCAGTTTCAGAAACACTAACTTACAGGTTTTACGTGTTTATATTTTGCCATTTTTAAATACATATTCATGCTTTGTTCCACACTGAAATTTAAGATTTAAATATCTGAAACCATGAAATTCAAGGTTTTAAAAATGCTATGATCATGACATTTGCAAAAATGGACCATGAATTTGGTAGGGCGCTAAACAGCACTCCAATGATCCTCTCAATTGAAGACAGTTATGTGGGCATCTCCCCAAAACCTAATGCATGTGTCAGTAGATTTGACCAGGTCATGTTCTCCACTATCCGCTAAGTCAGTGGTTCTCAAACTAGGGCCACCGCTTTTTTTGTTCAGCAAAAGCCCCTGGAGGGCCGGGCCGGTTTGTTTACCGCGTCCGAAGGTTCGGCAGATCGTGGCTCTCACTGGCCACAGTTTGCTGCTCCAGGCCAATGGGGGCTGCGGGAAGTGGCACGGGTCGAGGGATGTGCTGGCTGCCCTTCCTCCAGCCCCCATTGGCCTGGAGCGGTGAACCGCGGCCAGTTGGAGCAGCGATTGGCCAAACCTGCAGATGCGGCACATAAACAAACCAGCCTGGCCCGCCAGGGGCTTTCCCTGAACAAGCGGCGGCCCTAGTTTGAGAATCACTGCACTAAGTGACCTCTAACAAGAAACATCAAAATAGACAAACAAGTCTTAAAATCATTAATCCAAAACTGATAGGTATAACTACTACTAGGAACCAGATTAACGATTCCCACTTCACCTCAATAGGATCAATGTGGTAAGAGAGGGACTACTTCCACATAGATTGTGGTTGTAGAGGTGGAGAAATTGGTATATTTCCAGGATAACATTTATCTTGTTGGAATACAGTTCTTTACAAGACTGTGGGCTCTTGCACTCTAACTTGGAGGTCCTTACTCAGACACACAACTATAGGTGGCTGCAAAACTGACACTGCCAGATTTGGGGGGCTGAAAAGATAGTGCTTCAATGAGCTGGAGATAAGGAGGACCTTAGAAATATCACTCCTGAGAACAGGCACGGTTCTTAGAGTCTCCAAATCTTCTCATGTAGAGCTAGCGAATACAAGAGGAAGGACTCAATGAGTTAGAGCACAGAGCTAGTATGCATTTGTGACAGAGTGCTGGGAACAAACAACTGAGCAAGCTCTCTGACTGTGCCTGATTAACTAACAAGCTATTAATCCCATTAACAGAGGGTTGAGAAAAGCACAGGAAGGACATGCTGAAGGGGAAGAGGCAAACAGACTAGGAAAGCCAGAACCAAGAAGAATCTCTAGGTGGAAAGATCTCTTCCCGTTCCTTGTAGAGGGTGAGGAGAAACTAATGCTGTAAATGGTTTGGTGTATGGATCAGTGTAGTGGTGGGAAGACCAATGTAAATAAACTACACAGTGATGTTTAACAACTGAAGGTTTCCAAATAGTTTGTGTAGACAGAGAAAAGACAGGGATGGGACCTTGCCCTGTCAGAGGGTCAATTTAACAATACTTGGCCAGCTGGTGATGAGCTCAACCGGGTCAGACCCTTATGGGTCCATTTGGTCTTAGGACATGACAACATTTCCCTTCTGCTGCACTCTATGTAGTATTGTAAGATCTAGAGATATAACTCTCGAATTGGACCAGAGTCAACATATTTTCCTCCTCAAAGTACCTATAATCTCCAGGCAGTGTTTCAAAGAAAGATTCTGGAAGCCTTGGAGGATGATAGCAGGACTCAGCCTTGCACTATTCCTACAGCTAAGACCATTGTGCTCACCTCAGAGGTTCCTGATGAAGGCTCAGACAATATGATCTCCACCAAAGTTTTGATAGACATTGAGTGAGGGCTGTGGGACTTTTCTGCTTGCAATAAGACACTCATGAGTGGGAGGTGGCCTGCCTAGTATGTGACCTGAGTTTGGGACCAGACATGATTTCTTGCTACCCCAGACTAGAAGAGACCGGGAAAGAGGTGGAAACATGTTCACATTCTGTGAGGTGAGTGACTTCTACTTTAACTGATGCAGAGTCACTTTGACAGGCTTTCATGCGTAGCCCAGCACGTACACCAGAAGCTTAAAAAACAAACAAACAAAAAGAAACCAAGGGACCCTGGAAGACCTCAAAAATCATATGCATCACATTTTCTGCCACACATTTATACAGCTCCATCTTGAAAGAGCTGCTGTGTTAAACCTAAATACTGATCTATATCCATATATAGTTCTAGGGGATGAGAGAAGGGGAATAAAGCTACTTTAAAGCTACTTTTCCCACATCAGACCAAATTTGAAGGCTTTTTAAACAATGCATTTCTCCTTGATCTCGTCACATTTCGTATAATTTCTTAGTTGGGTGTAGCTCAGCTTGAACAGCTATATGCAGTAAAATTCACATTCAGTTTTCTCTCTTAGCATGCCTGTATTTGATACGAAGAAAGGTGATATGGCTAATAAATTACAACCTCTGCAGTTGCAATGCGTACGTGCAGCTGGCAGAACATGCAGTGCCAATCAAGTTGCTCGTGATCTTCTAGCCATTTGATAAATATTCATGAGGAAGCACTGTGATGAGTCACTAGTGTTCCCTTTTAGTAAATCTTTAAAAAGCTGGTGCTGCCAGAGGCGGAACTTATTTTTGCCTTCCAGCTACTGTGAACAATGCAGCTTTATTTAGCATTCCTTTAGAGACTCAGAAATCCTGGAGATGGGTCACGAATTATTATATATTACTATGTATATAAGTGAATAGTTAGTTTTATACCTTTTTAAAAAGTCAAAAGTCAAACTCTTATTTTTTCTTTCAACTGAGGCAGTTGTAAGCAAAATAATTTTAAAATAATCCTACTAGTATTTGTTACGCTTAGATACTGACTTGAAAGTACTCTATAAATATCTTTAATTAGCATTCTGACTCTCCACGGAATGTTCGTAGATTTTAAATCAAGTGTGTTACAATGTACAAGTAGTGTGTAAGAATGAATTGAACTCCCAAGCAAGCTAATTCATGACAGCCAATTTAGCATCCCATATGTGAAGGAAGTTATGTGCTTCTAGAGTTGAACCCAAAAGGCCATGATTTCAATACACACATCTTGAATCCAATTTTCAAAATTAGACAAACCCCGTGCATACAGATTTTTAAAATTACCCTCACATGGACACTGTCATTTTAGGTATGATGTGATTTGGTTATGTTGCACCTGGTCCTACTGGCCAATCTGAAAGCCAGTTGCTTAGTTTTCATTGCAAATTGGAAAATAAAAAAGTCCCTCAGCTGGCCATTCTAGATCTACCACCTCCACCAAAATTCTGGCCCTTGAGCTCTTGATGCTGCTAGAGTCCTTCCCCATATTTATAAATATCATTGCTAATGATGAGCACTTCAGTGGGCACTATGGGTGCCCAGCACCTCGCGGGGGAGGGAGGGGAGGGAGAGGGGAAATCAAACCACTTATTTAGATACTTTCATGTATATTTAGCTGCCTAATTTCATGCACATAGGTTTGAAAATTTTGGCCTGAAGGACTTGCCCCTGGTCACACAGTGAGCTACTATCCATGCAGTGGCTAGAACCCTATATTCCTGAGTTTCTGCCCTTTATTCTATCCTTGAAAAGGGGAACAATCATAATCTACTTTAGCTGCTGAGGGTGAGTAAACAATTCACAATGGATAATTTGTTTAGTGAATTTAGCTCTCACACACTTGTGCCCTGTCTGCAGACTGCAAGTTTTAAAATTCGTTCCTTTTCAGACATTCAATATTACCAAATTTCAGCATGCCGGTGGCTCACAGATCATCTATTCACTGTTATGCTCTGATATTAGAGCTGTATGATTGTCACATAAGTCACATGGTGGGGAGCTCCCACTCCACAGATCAACAAAGTGTAGGGTGATCAGACAGCAAGTGTGAAAAATCAGGACGGGGGTTGGGGGATAATAGGAACCTATGTATGGGGCGATGTCAGCAAACCAATAAAGTGCCTGAAACCACTATGGCTTGTTGCTAAAAGCAGCCAAGTCAGCAAGCCATAAAGTGGCCATGTAGCAAACTCAGCTTGACCAAGGCAGGAGGGGAGGAGGTTTTGAGTGCCACAGAAAGGGCAGCTTGACCCAGCATCCTTCCTGATAAGAATTGTGTTGAAATTGCTGATACATGCATTTTAGAGGAGCAGGATATGCCCCAGGAATGTCTATTGGGCCCTCAAGGCTGCAAACTCTGGAAAAACCCACACCTGGTTAATCAATAATCAGAAGGAGCCTCTTGCTTGCCCATTGGAACTGCTTGCTTAACAAGTTTTCTTTAAGGGACATGTCATTCTGTGACTAATATATAAATAAGGGGGAAAAGTTTGAGGTAGTGGGACTCTTCGGGACTGGACTCTCCCTCTGGATGCATCTTGTGTTTCCCACCAGCAGACAGGCTGCCGCTGTGCTACTCGAGAGCCACACTCAGCTTCGGTAATTATCGAGGGTTGGGGGTGTTTTACTAACCTGTAGTAACACATGTGTAAGTGCTTGAGACTAAGTAAAGTTTAGCTTTAAGTGAAAGCACTCTTGTGTTGTCCTGTTTGTGCCAGCCGTCTATCGGTCGGACGGCCGTGTCTCCCCAATTTATTTCCTGACACCACCTCGCACAGAGTAAAAGTTACTAAGAGCTTTGGGTTGAAAGAACCCCAGGTAACACCTATATAAGAAAAAGACCCAAAAATTGGGACTGTCCCTATAAAATCGGGACATCTAGTCACCATAACAATGTGAAAGAGCCCTCTGCTTCCAGAACCTTAGGTGGCTGGTAAAGTGACAAGAAATCCAACCCCTGCTTCATGCTGCAGCTATCCACCGATTGGAGGATGGACGTGCCATTCCAGAATGAGACTGTGCAGACTGTAGGAGGGCACAAACTGCTGCTGCAGAGACACAGCCACATGAGACCCAGAGCTCAGGACTGGGAGCACCCCATCTGTGTGGCCCCTGGGAAACTGCAACCCGCTGCATGTGAGAATCATCCAGACCCCAAAAGGAAGGAGGCTACCCTGATCCACCATGACTAAGGAACTAATGGTGGAACACGGACTGTTCATTTGCTGATAAAGATGTTGGAGTGAGGGTGGGGTGAATCCCTATCGTCCAAAGACTGTAGCTTGTTTTTCCACCCAAAGGCAAGAGGTGAGAGCTTGGAACTAACTACTAAAAAAGGGAGCTTCCGCCATAAATGGCATATTTTGTGGTCCTGATTGTAGAAGTTAGATAAACTACTGCCAACCAAAGTCACATTTAATTTTGTAATGAAACACTTTATAAAGTTTCCATTCTACAAACATTTACACCAACAAAATTTTGCTCTCATTCTGTTCACAAATAATGGGCGGAAAGTTAGCTTGTGCAGCTCAAAAACTTGTCTCTCTCACCAACAGAAGTTGGTCCAATAAAAAAAAATTATATATATACCTCCCCCATCTTGTCTTTCTGACATGACACAGTAATACAGGGAGCAAATATCTGAGTAAAAGATGCCAGTTTACACAGTAACTTTTCAGAGCAGAACTATATTTCATAGTATTCCAAGAATACTACCAAGCAGACACACTATACCTTGTCCTTCAGATGGGCCTGCAGTAACCTGAAAAGAACAGAACAAGAAAAACCAACAACTGTTCACCTGTGTTGGCACACACTGAACAAACTCAGCCTTCTCACACTTGGCGAATTAGTGACACACTAGATGCCAAGATAGTCTTGGAATAAGTTAAAATGTGAACATACCCTGTGTAATAATCTGAGGAGGAAAATCCCCTAGGTCAGAGGTGCTCAGCTGACTGCTAGAAAAACAGGTATTCTGGTAAATCAACTGTTAGGCATATTTAATCATAGCTTGAACATTAGTATCTTCATAAATGATCTGGAGGGTGGTGTGGATTGCACCCTCAGCAAGTTTGCAGATGACACTAAACTGGGAGGAGAGGTAGATACGCTGGAGGGTAGGGATAGGATACAGAGGGACCTAGACAAATTGGAGGACTGGGACAAAAGAAATCTGATGAGGTTCAACAAGGACAAGTGCAGAGTCCTGCACTTAGGACGGAAGAATCCAATGCACCGCTACAGACTAGGGACCGAATAGCTAAGCAGCAGTTCTGCAGAAAAGGACCTAGGGGTTACAGTGGACGAGAAGCTGGATATGAATCAACAGTGTGCCCTTGTTGCCAAGAAGGCCAATGGCATTTTGGGATGTATAAGTAGGGGCATTGCCAGCAGATCGAGGGACGTGATCGTTCCCCTCTATTCGGCATTGGTGAGGCCTCATCTGGAGTACTGTGTCCAGTTTTGGGCCCCACACTACAAGAAGGATGTGGAAAAATTGGAAGGAGTCCAGCGGAGGGCAACAAAAATGATTAGGGGACTGGAACACATGACTTATGAGGAGAGGCTGAGGGAACTGGAGATGTTTAGTCTACGGAAGAGAAGAATGAGGGGGGATTTGATAGCTGCTTTCAACTACCTGAAAGGGGATTCCAAAGAAGATGGCTCTAGACTGTTCTCAGTGGTAGCAGATAACAGAACAAGGAGTAATGGTCTCAAGTTGCAGTGGGGGAGATTTAGGTTGGATATTAGGGAAAAAAATTTCACTAGGAGGGTGGTGAAGCACTGGAATGCGTAACCTAGGGAGGTGGTGGAATCTCCTTCCGTAGAAGTTTTTAAGGTCAGGCTTGACAAAGCCCTGGCTGGGATGATTTAATTGGGGATCGGTCCTGCTTTGAGCAGGGGGTTGGACTAGATGACCTCCTGAGGTCCCTTCCAACCCTGATATTCTATGATTCTATGCGAGCCCCATCACTGAGAGGATGAAACAGCAGCAATGCTCAAACTAGGAAAGAATCAAACAGACCAAGCAAAAGATTTGACACAAATTCTACAATACAAGCAAAAGTATTAGCAGTCACTTAACAGTTATTAGGCAGCATTTGTGATCAGCCCAGGAGCCAGACAGCTACTAATCCTTATATGTTACTCAGAATAATATAGGCCCTGGTTCAACAAAGTATTTATGCACAGGACTAATGACACATGTGAGTATTCTCAATAAGCTCAATGGGACTACTCACATGCTTGAAGTTAGGCATGTGCTTAAGTTCTCGCTGAATCAGGACCTCTGTCATCAGTCCTCGGATGTCAAGAAGCTGCCCTATATAGTCTTCATTCTATATATGGTGGACCTGGGCAAAAAAAAAAAAAAAAATCATTGCAGAATGGATCAAGCCACTCTGGTGATCTCACAAGGCACCATAACCAAGAAAATCTCCATAAATGAGAGAAACCTAGGAATGGCTTTTCATCACACCATTTTCAATTATTTCTTTGTATTTTAAAAAGTCTTCTACTGGAAGGTGAACAGCAAACTTACTCATGAGTTACATGAGTGATCAAAACCAGGGACATGTAGTAGATGTACAGGTAAATGTTATAATCACTTAATGGTTTCTATTGGCACAGCATTTTATATGCAGTTTGGTGCAGATGTAAGTGGTTCAAGACTTATAACTCAGAAGAAAGGTATGTTATGGGTATAATACATGAATATATTCATGTGTGTACGTACTCATTCTGGCATTGCTATCTAAGGGTAGATACACTAGCAGCCATTTTAACAATTTGATATTTTACAGGAAGTGGCTGATGGGAATGAAAAAAGTTGAGACCCCCAGGATAAGTCATTCAATTCTATGCACATATTAGCATATAAATAATGTCTTACCTGAGTGCAGCTCTTTGTGGCTTTAACTCTGGACCTATTCTGGAGGGGGGAAAATAGCCTTAAATTTGGATCTCCTCTTCAGGCCACATCTGGACTTCAAAAAAAGGATTAGACAGTGAAGTGATACTAATTCATTGACTGTTTATAGCTGGGAGATTTAAAAAAAGTTTAAATGTTTAACGGAACAAAGATTTTCACTAAAAAAGGAGTGAGAGCAGTTAGGAGTGACATATGTGGAGGTTTGCTTTTATTTTTAAGGTTTGTTTATACGAGAAAACAGGAATGTGTAAGGAAGCCAAGCTTTCTTTGATGATTGGTTTCATAAATTTATTAGCTGAATCATAGACATGGAGACAGGATTGAAAGTTCATCAGCTATTGGCACTGAGATAGAAATGTTCTATTCCTTCTCTCTGTCTGTTTAAAGTCTGTGTGCTAAATCCCAACTCCTTTTTCCTATTGCCAATGATTGCCTTTCTCGCAATGAGAATAAAACAAATCAGTAATAAAAAAAGGTAAAAATCAGAGGGCACACAACATATTGAAATAATGAAACAACCCTATGACAATTCATTTGGGAATCGATTTAAAGATATTTCTCATAATCAAAACCTTAATTATTTCCTCAACCTCCTATATGCAGTTCACCATCAAACCTGACAGAAAAAATAGACCGTAGGCCAAAGCCATCCTGGTGCAACTTCAGTGGAGTTACAGAAGGAATTAATTTAGCCCCTTGGGTTTACTGTGTATGAACTACAACACCTGAAACCATTACCCACATATCAAATGTGACATAAAGGTAACTTTTGTTTGTCAATGCAGTTCTAATCAGGATTAAAACAACAGGCTGCAATGCAAATAAAAAGGACAATGCAAATGATCCAGGGTTTGGCACCAAGGGGAAACATACACAAACAGCATTCTTTTGTAAAATTGCCCTGTGTTTATTCAATAACTCAGATTAAAAAATATATATAAAAAAAGACCCTAGTCCCTGAGCCATACTACTTCCTAATTTGGTTAGGAAGAACACAACAAAATCAATCTGCCTTCAACAGGAGCATTATCTTCATGCTCTCTTCAGAAAGCTGTTCACGTGGAACCTGCATCTTCTTCCTTTGTGCATTTGTTCCCTCCTTCTCCTCCTACTCCTTGAGGCCTACACTACACTGGAAAACACTTACCACTTCAGCTGTACCAGCAAACCGTCCTACTGTAGACACAGCTTAAACCAGCAAGTCTGCGCTTGTTTCAGTGTAACATACAAGTTCCCGGAGTGAATTAAGCTATCTTGGCAAAAGGCCTTTTTTGCCAGTATAACTGCATCTTCGCTAGGATCCTTTGCTGGTATAGAAATATTGTAAAATGTCATACCCCTAACTGACAATACTATACCACCAAAAGTTTCCAGTTTCTAGCCCCTGGCCAGTATAACAAGGACCACCTGCTACAGCTGACAGAATCCAAAATACAGCTGCCTTCCTTCAGCTCAAAAGAAGCCAGGAAGGAAGTAAAGCCAACTGCACTTTCTCCACAATAGCCAGTTGGAGGTACCTATGAACGAATCATTTCTCTAGTCACTTTGAAATTTCCTTATTGTGAAATGGTCACACACACTAACCAGGAATGGCCTTCGCACACTAGCCAGGAATGGCCTTCACAGTACACCCCATTATAGCCAAATAGGTAGTAAATAAGTGAGGTAGAGCATTTCCATTTCCCTCCCCCCTTTCTGTTTATTTTATTTGCCGTTTTAAAAACAGGACTTTGCCTTCTCCAATTTCTAGAGAAAAAATAACAAGGACAAAATGTGTCTTCTGAGATGCATAGTGTGCAATAAAATACTATAAAAGAGAGAAAGCTCTGTGTGTCTCTCTCTCCCTCTCTCAGAGGTAGGATCAGAAACAAACAAAACTTGAGATAAGCCATTTCCAGCCATGACTAACTCCATGCTGGACTTTTTCTGGATTCAGCATGTTTATTCTCATTCTTTAAATGAGGAAACGTAAAGATGATGTTTTATTCTGAAAAAATAACTTTACAAAGATCTGTAGCTTGTCATAGATTCAAAGATTTAAGGGCAGAAGGGACCTTCTAGTCCAATGTCCTGTATACAGACCATACAACTTCATCCAGGGATTCCTGGAGCTAGTCCTATTTTAACTTGATTTTAACCAAAAAAGTTTCATTGGCTCCACTCCAGCCCATAATCTCGATAAAGATTTATTTTCTTTTTTCTTTAATTCACAAACAAATCTTGTTACAGTTTTTCTACGGCTTTGACATCCAGAGATAGAAATGCTAGCATGCAAGCTGTTTTAGACCAGATTGTTCAAATTACTTTCCAGCTTTATAAGTGAACCATTACTTTTCTGCTTCACTGATTTTTGTTCTGTCTTTCCAGATACTATCTTCTGTGATGCAGGTCCAATGAATACAAAGTTTTAAATTATATATAAATTTAGATGGTCAGATTTCATCAAATGAGGTCAGAGGACAGATAACTCCCTGTGTTTTGGGGTTTTATGTGATTAACATGCATTACTGGAGTGGTTATTGGATCTTGTAGTATATGGTTCCTTCGCACATTTTCCTAAACACATACAGTACACCACACGTATAGATCAATATTGGTACATGCTTTAGATTGTAATATATTCTCTTTTGTGTAGAGAATAAATGGTCACAAATCTGACATAAGGAATCGTAACATTCAAAAACCAGTAGGAGAACACTTCAACCTCTCTGGTCACTCAGTAACAGACTTAAAGGTGGCAATTTTGCAACAGAAAAGCTTCAAAACAGACTCCAGTGAGAAACTGCTGAACTGGAATTAAATTTCAAACTAGATACCATTAAGTTGGGCTTGACTAGAGACTGGGAGTGGCTGGGTCATTGCACAAAATGAATCTATTTCCTTATGTTAAGTATCCTCACACCTTCTTGTCAACTGTCTGAAATGGGCCATCTTGATTATCACTACAAAAGTTTTCTTTTTCCTGCTGATAATACCTCATCTTAATTAATTAGCCTCTTAGAGTTGGTATGGCAACTTCCACCTTTTCATGTTCTCTGTATGTATATATATCTTCTTACTATATGTTCCATTCTATGCATCTGATGAAGTGGGCTGTAGCCCATGAAAGCTTATGCTCAAATAAATTTGTTAGTCTCTAAGGTGCCACAAGCACTCTTTAAATACTATGCCTTATTTTTTTAATCCTTTCATAAAAATGCATCTAGACTGCTTCTACTCTCCTGTTGGAATTTATGGGCCTGATCCAATATACATTTATAGTCATTAGGAGCCTTATTATTGACTTCAATGGGCAACAGACCAAGACCTAGAAGCATCTTTTCAGCAAGGAAGAAACTGATTGTCACCACTTTGTGTATGACACTTTCACCGTTTCTGCTTTGTATTCACTTCAATGCAAAAAGTAAACAAGCAAAAAACAAAAACAACAAAAAACAACCCTAACTACTTTCTGTTCCAGTTATCTTAGGTGTTATAAACTCAGTAAGTACAACATTTTCAGAATGTGTGATTTTCAAATTGATGCTGGCATTTAAACAATTCTTTGTTATTTATTTCAGATACAAATTAACTATATGAAGTAGCACCCATATGCAGGAGATGGTGGAATCTGGAAAAGAGAGCTGCAAGTGCAAGCAACAGGTGGATGTCTATTACATTTCTCCTACTAGAAGAAAGCCATGAACACTTAAATGATACCTACCATATGAAAAGATTTTCCAGTTACAAGTCCACATGACAAAATGAAGGCCTCTCCGTTGCTCATGCCATATTTGAAGCACACAGAAACCCAACCTCTTTTATAGTCCCCACACATTCATTGATTAATAATCAATAAAAAAATATTTCTGACTCATCTAAGCAGAGTACTTTCCTAATTTACATTCCAAACATCACTGGGGGACTTGCCCAACATCTTAGAGCTCTTAAATTTTTACAATCTTTTGACTTTGAAAGTTTATTTTTTGTTGCTTTTAAAATACAAAAAAATATTAATCTATTATCTTTGTGCCAAATTTACACCATTTATGATGGCATCTGTGCCATAGTCTGCACTATGTGACTTAAGATCCACCAGGAGTCATATAGGGAATATGGCATAACCCCTAGAGAGGGGGCGCATGTCACCAGCCAGTGCAACTCAAAATGTGCCAGCTGGAGAAAGGACATGTCTATGGCAGCTGGGAGCCAGCGGGGAAGATATCCTGGTTCAATGTATGCCTTGAGCTGTCATCTTTCAAATGAATACCCACCCACCCCCCAGCACAGTGAACAAGGCTAGCACAGGGAGGTGAATGTATTCCCCTCTTCCTAAAGTTACCATCCTTTAAAAAAAAAAAAGTTTCATGCTAAGGGATTTCTTAGGTAAAGAGCAGTAACTGAATTTTGAAAGTACATGTATGAAATCTCTTGCATGGCACTGGGGAAACTTGCCAGTCACACTCTAGGGATCAGCTTCACAAGCCCTGCTGCGCTTTATTGCCTTAATAAATTACTGAGCAACCAGTACATTCTGTCCCTCTAGTAACGTGTCTCCCTACTCCCCTAGTTAATTTCTTGAGCAGTTATGGAAAAAGTTGCAATCAAGCCTCTGTCAAAGAATAATGTGAAACACAAATATGGGGAGGAAAAATAAACATGATCAAAAATAAATTTTTGGAGCAACCTCGTGTCTGGCAACCAATAGCTTTGCTTTCCATGGGTCAGGCCCAGTTTTGTGAGGTCTGGCATACTGAACCTCACTCAAACTAGTGCCGGAAAAATTCATTTTGCCTCATTTCAACACTGCAAATTTCAAAGTCGGACTTTAACAATACTGGGTTTGCATTCCAATAAGAAGATACTATCTATACTGCTAACCTTGGAATCAAATGTGATGAAGTGTTCATGGGAGTAAGGGGGAAGCAGCTCTAACTGAAACCTCCAAGGTTTGGTTTCACTGAATTAACTTTTCCTATGTGGAAAACTCCACACTCAAGCACTTAAGCCTATAGCATTTCTAAATTCTGCCTGCTCTCAGTCCCAGTGATTCTCGTAACGAGACCCCGTGACAATCTAAATGGATGCCCTGTCACATTTTAATAGTCAAGGTTAGACTGCATATAGATGGTGTGTGACAGAGTACAAGGAGCGAGTAGGTGAGCCTGTACTCTGATCACTTGAGGCTAATTAGTGCCCCAAGAGAAGCTTATTGAGCGTAATGGTCTAATCAGGCTTTGGCCTAAGAACTCAATTGGCCTCATCAGCCCAGGGCTGATTAAATAAATAAAATAAAGGCAGGCAGGCAGTCACAGTCACACAGAGGGCTCAGAGTAGGGAGACCTCTGTTCCCCTCAGTTCCTGCTGAGAGGGCCTAAACCTTGGCAAATACTGTAAATAGGTGGGAACATACGGGACTGTGGTGATATTGGTGAAGAGGACTTGAAATAAAGCTTCAATGAGAACATACCTGGAGGACTCTGTGTAGTTTCTGCAGGAAGAAGATGGGGGCGGAGCAGGGACCCTGTTACATGGTAAAAGAGAGAGGGACTACATTTCAACACTGATGAAACCAAAAAGCTTCAGATTTTACTGATTATTCTGAATAGTATTTTTTTTTCCTCTTCTCTGAAACACTGCACCATGAACAACATGCACCTTCTTTTGGGTTATAGTTAAGTGAAAGTGCACCCACTTAAAAAAAAATGTTAGAGATCATAATTATGCAGTTTTCATAGGTTTGTACATTTTTCTGAAAGTTTCCAGTTTCATTATGAAATCTGAGCTACTGAAAGCCTTTTTGAAGCAAGGAAAACACAAACTATTACTTCCTTAGACTGATATATTGCTCATGCTACACACCGGGTGTAATGAAGTAATCATAGCTGTCTTTGTAATCCTGCAATGTCAAAAAGAACAATGTCTTTTTTTTCATTTGCAAATGCAACTTCCCTTTTTAAATGAATGCTTTTTGCATTGTTGAACATGCATTTGCAAAAGCCATGAGTTATAGCCCTATAGCTAGCAAACGAAAAACTTGAAAGCTATCACATTGGCTTTGTTAAACAGAGAACTTTTCTGTCCATACTCTATGTCTGTGGTAGGAGAACAACTGTCTGTCATTTCCCTAAGTGGTTGAACGTTGGTAATCACAAGGTCAGTGCCTCTCTACCGATCAAAAATGGAAAACAAACAAAGGGCCTGCCAATGACTGTAGCTGAATTCTAAATGAGAGATGATCCCAAAGCAGAACCCTGACCTAACTCCATTTGAATTTCGAGGTAGTACAGATCCAGATCAAAACTCCACAGCTCAGGCCCATCTTTGTTTTCTAAACAGAGGATAAGACATTGGAAATATGATGCACTATTTTAATGAGGCAGCTGTCAAGTGATAATGGCTTGGTTTTTTATATTTGTGGAGATGCAGGCCAATATTTTCAAAAATAGGTGCCCAAAATAAGGCTCCTAAATCCAGCACCTAATTAATTGCCCTTATTCTCAGAAGCACTGATCATCCAGCAGTTCCTACAGACTTAAGTTTAGCAGTTGGCATCATGACTAAGCACAGAACATGATTTCAGTGGGACCTACTGGAAATTCTGCCCTTTCTTAAAATCAGGCCACTTGCAGTAGAACCTCAGAGTTACGAACGTATGGGGAATGGAGGTTGTTCGTAATTCTGAAATGTTTGTAACTCGAAACAAAACGTTATGGTTGTTCTTTCAAAAGTTTACAACTCAACATTGACTTAATACAGCTTTGAAACTTTACTATGCAGAATTAAAATGCTGTTTCCTTTTTTTTAAAAAAAAGTAGTTTACATTTAACTCAGTACTGTACCGTATTTGCTTTTTTAGGGGGGAAGGGAGACGAGGTGTCTCTGCTGTTTCCTGATTGTGAACTGGTTCCAAATGAGATGTGTACGGACTGGTCAGTTTGTAACTCTGGTGTTCATAACTCTGAGGTTCTACAGTAGTTCAGTAGCTAAGTATGGATTTAGGAGCCTAAACAGGAACTCAGTTTTTTAAAAACATGGTCTTTATTTCCAAATAGAATTAATTGACAAGGCAAATGAAAATTATACTCTCATTCACGCTTCTAATGGACATGTGTCCACTTAACACAATGATCTCATAATTTAACCAGAGAAAACTTTCAGCCAGGAGAAACCTATTGCTGAAGGAATAGGGCTACCTAGCTAAAATAGCATTTCTGTCCTACTCAAAATGGACAGTCTGTTGCTCAGTATTGATAATCAAATAGTTTAAAATCCATTCTGCTTTACTGCATTCCATGTGTGTGATGTTTTTCTACATCTGTCATCTGCTGCCTATCAAATGCAACAACTACATTTTGTCCAAGGAATAATATTCCCACCTAGCAACAGCAGCTCACCCATGTATATTGTCTGTTCCACCCTCCTTTCTGTTCCTGTCTCTTATTGACTAAAACACATTTTCCTTTCATCTTATTTTAGCCCTCAAGAAACAAACTGTAGTCTATATCCTAGTATCAAGCTAAGGAACAGAGCCATTTTGGAAGAAAATATAAGGCTGCTTCTCAAAAGGTTCTGAACCCAATACCATCTTGCACTGCATCTTGTCCAGATTTATTTCAATGTTTAGTCTCCTCTGGGAAAACAATATATTATAGACAGAGAAGCCACCAGAAGTTTAGCTGTGGCATGTAAAAACAAGGAAAAGGCCTATCAAGCAGATTCCTGGGTATTTTTGTCCTGCTTATATTTTATGTAAGAGTTCATTGTTAATCCAATTCTCACTATTTTATTTGGTTTAACACACTAATAGACACCTTGTTCCTTATCTTACTTTTCCCTACCATAAAAGAGACACTTTTCGTTTTTCCACATCCCTATAAAAACTTCACTTCAGCTACACTCCATTTTTACACCTTGGGAAGATTTACCCTTCATTGTAATAATTATTATTTGTATTTCAGTAGTGCCTAGGGGACCAAGGTCCCATACAAAATAACTGTGCCTACCATGGAGAGTTTATGTTTTACCTTTAGTTCCCTGTCATGCCAAAGGAGATGCTTGCTTCCTTTCCTCCTGCCTCCCTCTACTCCCCCTTGCCACCTCCGTCCCTATACACTGGAAAGTTAGGAAGCATGAGTTCAGGCAGCTGCTCCATGTGACCCTAATCATTATCTACCCATTCCATGGCCCTCTCAGGGCCCTGCCCCCTCTATTCTCCCTGCCAATTCCTTCCTCTGTATTTCCCCCACTATTTCCTGACCATCCTGTATAGGTGTCACCTTTCCCTCTCCCCTTAGCCCCATATGTTTGGCTCGGATCACCCACATAACCTGGATTCAAGGAGGGTTGGTTCATTTTGAGGGATCTGTGGTACAGGGAAGGGGTGGTGAAAATCTCATATTCCCTGTAGGCTGTGGATTTTCCAAACCCACTACAGCTCTTCAAGGAAAACCCCTCTGACTGGCTGCTCGACTCCCATTCCTCAGCCCCCTGGGGAAGGACAGAGCTGCTACCCTCTCCCTAATTCAAGCCAAGACCAGCAGATCCTGCTAGCTCTGCATCCTCCACTGCTGCCCCACACTGTGCCTGGGAGAAGGGTGGTGAAGACACCCCCACCCTCCCCGCTACTGGCCTCAAGGCCTGGGTTGTGAGAGGGGGATGAAGAGGCCTCCATTAATACCACCTTCCCAGAGCCTGTGGGCAGGAGGGTGAAGAGCCTCCTGTTGCTGCTACCTATCCCTGAAGGTTTGGGCTCTAGAAAGCAGGGTAAAGAGGCTGCTGCCCTGCTCCTTGACAGGCCTGAATGATGGGAGGAGGTGTGCTATGCCACCTCCCCTTCCTGCAAGGCCTGGGCAACAGGGCAGGGAAGGGGAAGAGAAAAG